CCAAGTTGGAGTTCTCCCAGATCTCACCTAAATTCCTAGCAATGTCCAAAAAAGCAGGATTTAAAAATGTGCTTTAAAACTATTTTTGGAAGACTATTTTGAGACCATTCCCAGATGGTATAAATAAGACTTGAAGGACACAAGGAGGAACTACATTTTAAACGCAACCATGGAACTCACACTTAGATGTTACTAGTAGTAGTGTTGATTCATACCACCAAAGTAATAATTTACCACAACTAATTCAGAGGAAGAATGATCTGGAGCTAAAGCTCTAAATGGAAACATGAAAATCAAAGCTCAGTTCTTGGCTGGATCAGGATTCTCTCTGTATGGCAAATATCAATTAGTGAGTAAACCTGTAAATTAAAGATCATGTTTCTTTTGCACACCACAATAATCCTCAGCTCTCACCTGCCTCTGCATCTCCTACATACCTCCATTTTGTATGTTTCTTCTACTCTAGATATACTGGTTTACCTGGTTAAGGCTAGGAGTCTCATTTAAATAAATTTAATTTAATGGCATCCAAGCTTTCTTTTACAGTTCTGCTTATTACAGGCATTATATTGCTGTCATCACTCCTAACAAGACAATAGATGTGCGAAATGTCCTTGGCATAAGCATATTCATATTTTCAGAGACAGAATCATTGAAATAATTCACTAAATAAACTCCCAAATATTTTCTCTTTTTAAGCATTATGTGGAATATTCATTAATATATTACTTTGTATCCTCTCTATAGAGATATTTTCAAAAGTTGTGATTAATGAGAGTTGCAATGGTTTAAAATGGCTGTATTATAAATGTAAAAGCAAGGGAAAGAGTGGTTAGTCACTAGGACAAGACTGTGATTCCAAGTCACTTGAAGAAAGTTGTCAATGACCAAAGAAAAGGGAATTATTTTCTGAGGAGATTCTTCTCCTTAAATATGATTTCATGAAATTAAATACATGTTGAATGCAAACACCTTAAATACTAATAATGCTTTGCCTGGTTATCTATGTCCACACCACAGAATAAATTAGACTTTTACATAGGCACTGATCTCAACAGGGCAGCTATTCACCTGACACATCTCTCACCTAAGTTTAATGGTCATCTACATTTTAATTTTTTTATTCCTCTGTGAGTACATCTGAAGTTTTACATTCTCTCTGGTCAAAGGCTCTCCCAGTTTAAAATTAAATTGAGAATTCAGGCAGTGCTCCTACCCCTCTCCATCATGGTCAGAAAAAAAATTTTATCAGTTCTCCAGAAAAGACCATTGTGTAGTATAATTCCCTGCAGCACAAAGACCCCAGACATTTAATGCACATAGAAGCATAAACAGCACTGATGAACCCTAAGATACTTTCAACAAGTCATGGGAGCACCATGAACTTGCATAGCATAGCAGCTAATTAAAAAAGCCCTGCTTGATTTATGAAGAATCAATTCACACCATTTGATAATGTATTAATTGTGCTACTTTGAGAGTTATCTTGATCACTTTAGAGATCTTCATAGAAGACTCAGTTGCGTGAAGCAGACAGATTGCAACTTCAGCTGAATCAGTGGGAATTCTTTCCCTGAGTCCAGGGAGAGGTTGACCAGGCTGTGAAATGGTTACAGTCTGTTACATGTCCTTGCCAAGAGCTTTAACCTCACACTTGGCCAAATTAAAATTAATTTTCCCTAGAACAAGGAAAGACATTTCTCCTACCAAAAGTCTATCTGATTATTACAGCTGTTGACAGAAAGTCATGTTTACTACTTTATAATAGGAGCACTCTGCTCCTTCTTTTTGTATTAATCATTCTGCTTTTGGAGGGAGAAGGGGCAGAAAAGCCAAAGAAATGTATTTCTTTTTTTAAGTTTACATGAAGACTGTAGGCTTGGCCCAAACAATTCTGGAGTTGGAAGAAGAAATTAATCAAAAAAAAAAAGCTGAAAATTCAATCTGACTGTAAGTATTTTTAAAGCTAGGGCAACTGAAGGCAAGTTCTGTGAAAAAAAGTGACAAGCATGCAGGTGTGATGTTTTTCATGTATTGTAGTCTTCATTTTTCCAAGACTGTGGTTTGTTTCAGGAGAGATCTGACTAAATGTTAATGGGCAGCAAGTAGGAAAAAAGGAATGCATTAAAAAATGGTAAAGTGACAATAGCCTGTAAACAAGAGGAAAGTGGGAGAGACTGCATGGCTCACACCTTTCAGGTCTTTGCATTCTCCCTTGTAGGCAAGAGAGCTAATTAAAACCTTGTGGCTAGAGAAAGACATCATGCAACTTAGGTCAAACAAATGGCTTTGATATAGAGAGATATCTTATATGGAAACATCCCCCTTTCATGCTTTTAATCCTAGGATTACAAGCACATATCAACCATCCCGTGGATATCCTCTGAGATAACATTATTTGCTTGTAGTGCATTATAAATTCTGGCTTTCAAAAATAAACTTACCTACAGTATTCACACACCCATGTTTGTTTTTTTTTGTTTTTATCCACATGAATGTCACTGCAGTAAATCTGGTAGCACTACAGATTATTAGGTTTGACCAGCAGTCTTCATTATAAGACTGCTTTAGAAGGTTGTGAGTTTGCCGAATATTAACTACATAAACTAACGTTTTCCTCAGGGGAAAAAAGAGTGACAGCATCAGTCTCTTGGGTTTTCATTATCTATTTTACTATGTGTCTTCACATGGAAATGCCTGCCAAAGTGGTTGAGAGATTAACTCATTGTTTTGCTCAAGTTAGAAATCCTCTGTAACTCATTTTCCTGTTGCTTCTGCATTCAACACTGTGTACTCAAGGATACATTTTAGTCTCTGGTGTTCAAAAAATTTTAGCCTGAAAAGTACCTACAGATTACTGCAGAGATCCTACACACAGGTATATTCCAACCCAGAGAGCATCACTCCTGGAGAACATCCCATCTCCTCTGCAGTTAAAGATCAGACCACTTGCTGTGGTCTCTCAGATGACCTCTACACTCATGTGGTCTATGCATTGAGGGGAGGAGAGGAAAACTGAATGAAGTAAAAAAGGCAAGAGATTAGGATATGGAAGTAGGAGATAACAGATCAGAAATCGGGAAGCAAAGAACAAGGAAGGGAAGGAGAAATAGAAAAATCACAAGGAGAAAACTACAGGACTGAGAACTAGGGATGGAGAGGAAATGTGAAAAAGGGGGAGAGAAATTCCTGTGAAAGAGAAGAGAGAGAAATATTGGGACAGGCTGTCCACACACACTGGACAGAATGTTTTGGAAATACTAAGACAAACTACAGAGGCCAGAAAGAGGTGCTGATCTGGAAAAAGCTGAGGAGAGAGAGATCCTAAAATAGAGACAAGAAATGAATGTAAAGAAGAAAGGCAGACTGGCCAAGTAGCAAAGGCAGGAACTGAGACAGAAACACAGAATAGGCTGAGAAGAGATGAAAGATAGGCAAGAAACCCAGCAGGAATAGAATGGAAAGTTGAATATGAGATAAGCTGAATGATGAGATGGTAGAGAAAAAGAGACACAGCAAGTGCAGAAGAGACCAGATGACACCTAGATTAGATAAGCAAAAAGGACTCTTAGCAGAAACTCCCTGCCAAAACCTGGAGACTGACCGTCTCAACAAGCAAGTCTTGTTGTTCTTTGTCAGCAGACATGTGTGAAATCCACCTACAAAAACTCCAATCAGTGTTCCATGCTGGGTAAACTTCAGACTTCTTCAGGAAGCTCAAGTGATAGACATTTCTGTGTTGCTGAGATCCTGTGCTGGAAAAACATGCTTGTATGAATCTGATGACTAATGTTAGGATTTCAAGATTTTGTTTTCAGTTTGTTTGGGGGTTTAGAAAAGTGCATCTAAAGCATCTGCCCTAAATTGTGCTGCAATATGAAGCACTCAAATATTAGGAAAGGCCAGTGGTGATCTCATCTGAGCTGAAGCTTCCACATTATAAACATAGATGTGTGAGCTAATCATCTAACCTCCTCTTATAGTCAGTAAAGATAAAATATCCTTCTGGGACAGGATTCACACAAAACATGTGGTTAAAGTGTCATTAAGGTCAAAGGAATACTGTTAAATCTGAGAAACTTTACACTTGATTCTTCTATGTGCTTCTTAATGGTTTTGAAACACAGCTACTACTCATTTCAGAGATCATTTGAGAAGACTACGACTTCTGGAAACCAAATCTCAAGGCTTCAGGTTCAGTTCTCTAGCATCAGGGGCTTTTGTTGGCTGACAATAACTTATTTTCTTGACGTAACAGTAAAATTTCCCCTCATAATACAGTCTCACATCAACTCAGATATCCATCAGTTCACAGAAGTAGACATGGCACTTGTGCAAGGATAGGGAGAGGGAAATGTATGATCATATGGTTGCATACTAGATATGATGTATACACACAAAGTTGTATAGGCAGAGTAATCCTGAAATTTTCTGAATTGGGACTTCACTTTTCCGCAATGTCAGATGTGCTGTTACATTCTATAAATAGAACATAGTGCAAAAAAATCTTCTCAATGAAAGGTTTGTAAATTCTTCACTAAACCAAACTTTGTGTTAAATTCAAAGAGATGAATAAAAGTAGTTTTCATTCTCGTGTATGTTTCTGCTAACCAGAAGCTGCCCTATTTTAGGAAATATGTATCAGAAAATAGGCTGCCTTGTTAATAGAGAGCAGAATTCTCCACTGCTGTGAATGGTTGCTTCCTGGATACTGTATTTGACAAACACAGAACATAAAAGCGCTTGCTTCAGGTGGAAGTGTTGCAACAACGGTAAGCCTTCTGTCTGATATTGGAAAACTGATTATCTATGAGCAAGTGCTGCGACACTGAGACTGAATAGATGGATGTCTATTATTCATTTCTCTCTCAGTAAGCACTGCAGAGTTTAATTCCCCAAAATCATTTTACTGTGTTGGGATGAAATGATCATAATGCCCACATGATTCACGCCCTTCACTTCACTTTTTAGTTACTGCAGTCTGAGGTATGTCTTCTTACCTCAGCAAGCTTTTCCACTCCGCTTGCAGTTCGTGCCAGTGTTACGAGATCTTCTTGCATCTTATCTACCCATGATTTTATCCTAAAAGAAACGAAAAAGAAAGGAGAGACATCCAATCAGATCACTGGCAAGTGGAAATCACATGCAGTTATATAGCAAAAGGAAAGGGGAAAAAATCAGAATACATTGATCAAACTGAATACAGAACATAAAAGACTTTTGTTTGAGGGTTGTTTTCAACAGATCCTTTACCCAGTCTTGATGACCTGAATCTTCTGATACAGTTTTCTGCAGTGGCCACCACGCCAAGTCAGCTGGAAACCAAGCGTGCTATCATACCTATGTAGCCAAGCTGCAGCAAAGATCTCCTCAACAGAGCTGGCAGGACAGGATAACCAGCCTGAGCTGCAGCTGACTCCCAGCAATGCCTCTCCTGAGGGCCTCAAGGTCCCTCTCCCGACAGCCAGCACAAGCAGAGAAAAAGAGCAATTGGGAGCAGGTTTACAAACCAGACTAAACTTTCTGGCCTGTAGCCCCTCTTCAGACACTTCAAGGAAGCAACAGTGAGACAAGCAGCTGTGGGTATGAGTTATTTTGGGAAGGCACATCTGCTCCTGGTTGCTGTCACCAGAGAACAGGTGATTTGCTGCTGTACATTCCCTACTTCCTGTGCCCAGCAAAACCAACTCTCTGGAAAAAACTGGATCCAACACAGTTTCTGTGCCATGCCATGTTCTGTAGCACAGAAGGAGCCATGGTACAAGTTTATTTCAGTAAGGTCCGTGTTCAGAAGGTTGTGTACCTTGCCTAGCCAAAAAGTTTCATCTCCAGCTCATCTCTCACATTATCCCTGTCATTATGCCAACTTTCTGGCACAAATTTATCAAAACAAATTATTTATCCTAGCCATTTCCTAACCTTAGTCTAATACTCAAGGGATAACTGCTTAGATTATTCATTAATAAAGGAAAGAAAGGAAAAAGAGATTCCATTTTTGCTGCAATATGGAAAAATTGGAAAACTAAGAAAGAAGATAGAAGACTGATTCTACTCTGTCTTTCCATGGCCATTAATACATTTTCTGTTAATCCAATGTCAATATCTTTAAAGAGCACAATCTCTTTTATAGAGTTGCCAGCTGACTACTTTTAATGAAGGATCCTTCCTCATGCTTCCTTCACACATGAAAACTATATTTTCATTGACTACAGCAGTTGACTTCATCACTGTTTTAGTATTCATAAACCTTCCCATCTATACTATGCTTTCCAAAAGCTGAGATAAAATAAATTTATTTCCTGGTTCAAGTCTGCACAAAGCCCTCTATCATATAAACATTAAGTTCAGTATATAAATCAGTTTGTTTAAAATCATGGTGCATTATGTTTACCATGGGTTTAAGCCCATCATGTGCATCTGTGAGAAGACTATTGACTCACAAGCACAAGCACGAGCAAAACCAAGAAAATGCTATCATCTTCCTTTTTTGGATGGTTTCTATTTTTCTGTGTGAAAGAATGAGGTATATGAAAGGTGAAAAAGTGAAACCCATTACCCAGAAGTGTTTTCAAAAGCATAAAATAAATAATTGAACACACTGAGGTTTTTTTTTTACGATCCATTTCAGTTATAAAACTTGTGGGTGTTATTTCTAAGAGGAGTCAATAGAAAAAAAAAATCAGGGAGGATTGATTTTTAAATTGACTTTTTCCATTTTCCACTGCTCTATATTTTTACTGAATATATTCCTCACTGTCCCTAAAGGAAACTGGAATTTTGAAAACAATTAGTTAGTTATCTAGTTAGTTAAATTTGAAATTTTGGAAGAAGTTATCCTTAAAAACAGTAATTACCTATTAGTACTATTACTTGTAAATCAAATATGGATGATTTTTCCTTTAACTTGCAAAAATACTCATTTTTCAATAAATACTTCTTATATATTGTCTAGAACTTCTGTCTCCACACAGTTAGCCCACATCTTGCCTTTTGGGGTTAGTCATGAGACTAGTCTTTGTTTTATTTTGGGTTTCGTTTTGTTTTGGTTTGTTTCAATTTGTGATTGAGCTAGGTTTCTGCTTCAGTCAATGGAAAACAGTATCTCCAGAGCTGATCCACTCTATCCTCAGCCAGCAGCAGTTTCTAAACTGGAATAGGAAGTCCACCTTCTCCCTAACTTAATGATAATTTCCCTTCCCATCTGTAACTAAAATGTAAATAATAAGGCTTCTTCCAATACTGACTGTATATTTACCTTAAAAGATTATTTTCTTGCGTATTCATCTTAGCTTGTTAGCCCTTCTGTAGTGAAAACTGCCTTTTATTTTGCTTTCCTCTACATCAGGGTCCAACATCATCATAGAATTATGAAATCATAGAACAGTTTAGGTTGGAAGGGACCTTTAAAGGTCATCTAGTCCAACTCCACCCTGCAATGACCAAGAACATATTCAACTACTTAAGTTGTTCAGAGGGTAAAAAGTAATAACTTCAGAAGGGTTGTGTTAGATTACTATCAAAAGAACAAATGATAAAATGACATTTTACAACACTGAGGAAGCTCAGTATAATTCCTCTTGCCTTCCCATAGGAATTTAAATATTATTAGTATTATTTATAAAGTAAAATGTCAGTATTTCTGTATCTCATTTTCCTACCTTGCCACCAGACAAAAGTGTACATTTGAGAAATTTCTTGTTCCTCGCAGGCTGTTTTTCAGAAACGGACACATTCAGGTTCTATAACTTTCACAGGAAAATGACATAGAATGTATAAAATAAAAGCTGTGGGTTTGTGGTTTTTTCAGTTAAGGAACCATATTATCTCACTGTATTTTTTTTATTTGTTTGTTCGTTTGCTTGTTTAATTGTGAGTCTTTAAAAAGAAATAACTAGGAGCCTTTAGGCACTGAAATGCTTGGCTGGTGCTCCTTTTAACTGAAGCCTGCAATATCTGTCTGACAGCTGCTCATGGTCAGAGTTTATTTAACAATTGGAAAGCTGTCACAGCAAACGTGAGCTCCCATGACTTAGAGCAGAAACACTCATTTTTTTTCTGCAAAGGGCACCAGCAGAAAGCCTGTACAAAAGGCTGGTTTGCTCCGATCGCTATTGGTTTGGCACGAACATTGCAATGGATGTTCCGCTGAAAGGTGATTATGTTCTGCAGGACAATTGATTTTAACCCCCTTCTCCCCCACACAGGTTGTCCCTGTGTGAAGCACTGACTAGACAAAAGGAGTGTGCACATGCCTTCCCACAGCAACTTCCAAGCGATCTGAATGATGAAGGAAAATGTCTGATTAAAGACAGACAGACACGGGTCATTTACCGGGGAATTAGAAGGTACAACCTTGCTGCTGTCACCTGGGCTGTGATCAGATTGATGAAGAAATAGCCAAAACACTACAGAGCCATCCATCCACATTACATTATTAGCCAGCCTAGCATAACAGCTATTCTGACAGTACAGAAAGCATTTATTTTTCATTTTTCTTACTTTTTTATATTTTTTTAATTATTTTACAGGAAGACAATTATATTTCCTAAAGTCAAAGGATTTTCACAGGTACACCCCTAGTCACACTCCAAGTAGAACTTAATATAGCACGTGCTAGCACCAAGAAATCATCTTTTTAATTTCATTAAAAACCTACTTTTATATTAAACCTGTATACCAAACTATACTAGGAGAACAGAGCACTGCTCAATTACAGGGGTAAAAAAGACCAAGAAATCTAGATGTACAATAACCTGGCTATGACCTTTTTTTTTTTGCTGCTGAAACTGATGCAGTATTTTTCTGCTGACCTCAAGGAAAGTAGATTCATGTAATGATATGCCATAGTTTTGCAGACCACTCACACTAATTTAGGGTCCATTAGCTGACTTCTGCTTGGGTAATGTCTTACAAAGAGGCAGGCGTAGACCTTAACTGAGCCAATTGAAGTCACTTGGTGTATTGGAGATGCACATCCAGTTCTCTTCAGTGAAGATTACATTCTGCTCAAGTTTCTGAATAATTCTTGTATATAAAAATAGCAACAAATGAAGTAATGAAAGATATATAAGTAGTGAGAGAAAGAAGTATTTTCAGAAAAGTTCAATATTTCTTTGATTATCAAAAAGGAAAAATATGCATAACAAATTGCTCCTAACTCAATTGAAAATTGGTGTTTGGAAAATGAAGATAAATGAGATTAGGCTCAGAAACTGAGAGAGTATGCCATACTATATTTTTTCAACCTGACTACACTTTTTTGTTGCTCAGAAAAACCTTCACTTTCAAGTTCACATGTTTTTAGAAGATTTGCTGTCAGTGAAGGAGGGGGGAAAGGTTACAAAATTATTGTAACAGCAGGATTCCCAATTATTCTTTGTCCCTCATAGGCAACACCAAAAGGCAAGCAGAAATTGTTACTGCAATTTGTAAAAGGCATGTGAATGAAGAATATATTTTACAATGGAATTACTAACCTTCTAGACAGAAATTACCTGTGTTGCTGCATTTACACCTCCCACTGCACAAGTAGTGATTTTTAATAGCACTATATATTTTTATGACCTATAAGTGGACAGTACTCATATTTCAGGTATGAGGATGGATGGATGGATGGATGGATAGATTTACAGAGAACCTGACAATGGAAAGAGTAATAAAGGCAGGTTTTGTAAAATACTAAAGAAACTGTCATAATATACTAAAATCACACTGATTCTTAAACAGGGAAAGGAAGGAGTTGGACATGGGGAGACTGATGCAAAGATCACTAAAACCCTATGATTATCAAATCAAGCTCTCAAATCTCCACTGTCTCTATAGCCAGAAAATTAATAAAATTAATAAAACAGCGTTATATAATTTAGATGTGACATAAAAACAAATGAAGGCAAAGTTCTCCACATCAGCTTTTGTGAATTTTCCAGATCTTACTATAGTATTTTTAACAGTCCAGTTAGATGCCATAGAGTGGAGGAGATTTAATTTCACCATCCAGATTCATGCTCACCTCATTCTATGACTTCTATGGTTATGAAAATTCTTGGGATATTGCGCAAACCTCCAATTCTCCTTTTTTCTGT